CCCCCCCCCCCCCCCCCCCCCCCCCCCCCCCCCCCCCCCCCCCCGCCCCCCCCCCCCCCCCCCCCCCCCCCCCCCCCCCCCCCCCCCCCCCCCGGGGGGTTACCGGACGGATAAATAAAAAGAGATATAAGTTTGATATCTGCGCTTATCGATGACTATGTTTGAATGCTGTATAAAATTTTTTAAATAACCTCAAGTGAATTTTTAGTTTATGCCTAGCAATATATTATTTAACATATTGTAATAACTCTCATTTTTCTGTATTCGCTTATATTTCTGAAAAAGATTATTAACTTTCCTGTTTTTCGAAGGAGAAAAATCCTCTCCTGTTCCTGTTTTTCCAAAGTAGATGGCACGAACCATGAACCGTTTAAAGAAGCTAGACACAGGCTTCCGTAGTGACATATTTACTTAAATCCTATTAAGATCTATCATGAGATGTCTCTATGTCATGATCTGTCTCTATATCATGACCGGTCTCTATGGACTGATCTTCAAACTTTTTTTAAAATTTTATTAATCTGTTTTGTCCTCACTATCATAGAGAAAAGCATGAATTTATTTCAAGGGGATCCAAAGATACTGAACGTGCAAAGTGCGAGAGCCGGTTTTTAGCACCATCTATCGATAAGAAATGCTTATTATCTAGTTCGTTCTTTTGTTATTTACAGTCAGTGATTCAACCAATTTATAGAAAAAGTCTGGGCCTTCAGAATACGTGACTGATTAGCGAATGAATTCCCAGTAACAACATATAATATCTATCGACATAAAAATGGCTTGTTTATGGCTCATTAATTGCCAGTTAATTGACCATTTTTACATCATTTTTATCTCATAAACGGTATCATTATTCGGTCGTATTTAGACCGTTTTTTGCCAGGTAAAAATGATCATTTTTGTGTCATTTCTCAGACATTAATGACCCATTTTTAGATCTTTGGAATAGTAATTGGATAGTCGATAAACGCTCGTCTTCGATGATCATTTTTACCTCATTTGTGCGACATATATTAGTCATTTTTATCTCATTCGAATCATCTAATCATGGCTCATTTGGAAGAGAAATGTTTACTCTATAAGCTCATATATTTAGAGATACTAATGTATTTAACTATCTAGGACTAAATAATAGACAACTAGAAATTTCCATATTTTTAAAATTGCATTTTTCTCAGTACGTTTTAGATATAGGTCATGCATATGGCGGTTCCAAACTAAATCTTACTTCATTGTTTAGAGTAGGCAATTCGACATCGATTTATACGTAATGGAAAATTTTAAAATATTAGCGTGATGCACACAAAATTAGAAGTCCTTAGCTATCGTGGTTCTTGTGTTACAGTGCGACTCGCTACTTTTGCGGAGTACTGTATCTATTTGCTGTAAAAATAGAAGCGTCTGTACTGCTTTTCCAAGATAATGTCATTAAATTATTTGATTTTCGAAGAGAAAGCTGTGTCAAGCTGTTTTCTGTTACATCGCATATCTACTCAACTATCAAAAGAACATGAATTCACATGCCTTTGCTGCATTTTGTTTTGTTCTCATCTGTTCAAATACATTATTAACTACATTTCGATCATTTGTACTGAATTTTTTGGTAACGTTTTTAACTTCCAAATCAAAAAGAATTTTCATAATTTGCATTCCACTTTCTTGATCGTCACTACCAAAAATTTTTTGATTGCCTACTTCTGGACATACCGGTACTGTTGCCATTACTATGTTGATTCCCATCGCGTCAAATAAAGGTTTACGTTCTTCTTCACTCAATCGATTGACAATTTCAGTAAATTGATCTTGTAAATCGCTATCGATGTCGAACATTATAAATACCATGAATAGAGAACCGGCTGAGGATTGTCGTTTCGAAAGTGACGATGATAGTGACAGCCACTGTTCAGAATCGTCGTTTGATCTTCGTTGATAATCATCGTCGAGTATGAAACGACCGTTGGTTTGACTGCTGAATAGAGCAGTTATCATGAATAGTATGGTGACAAATTTCATTTTTGCTGTAGTGTTAGTACTTCCGATGTGTTTGGATAGAGGAGATAGAATGAGTGAATGTATGATTGACGTTCTTTCTGATTATAGAAGTTTTATGTGTTACTGTCGATGTTTATCTGTGTGAAGCACACTTCATTTTTAAAAGTTGAATATCTTATGAACCTTACACGGAACATTCTTCAACGTTGTAGAGAATATAGTTCATGTCTCACTACCTTAAGCGGTTTGTCGAAAAAAGGGTGAACATGTTGTAAAATTCATCGCGGTGGTGATCAATTCACATTGAGAGTGTGCCAAATCGAATAATATTGCCGGGAGAGTTACTATAACAGTCAGAAGAAATTTGGCGATTCAAATATAATTAAATCGACATTCTCTCATCAGGATTACATATGCTGCAGCCCATTTAATCTTACCCTGTGTTTAACTTCGCCCATCGTTGAAAGTCAGTAAAGGAAAGTTCTTCGATCTATAAATATACATACATATTATTGTATTTATAAAAAGATAATAAACGTCGATACACTTTTTCTTCCGTCAGGCTGTGTTACAGCCGATTTCTTTTAATATTCATATCAAGACTTCGCACTTTGTTTCTAAGGGGGTTGCCAACACGAAACCTGTGAAATCTTGTTCGCCATGGTCGATTTAGTGGTATGGCATATTTATTTCAACAGGGTCACTTCGATTTTTTAAGAAAAAAGATTTTGAAAAAAATCAAAAAGATTCGTGTCAGATTCGAACCGGCGACGAAAAATTTCACTTTCTTTGCACTTAACCACTGTTCTACGATTATATATCTTAAGAATTTTACAGAAAAACATTTGACTATCGCTGGGTTTTTCGCTTTGGAAAACGATGTATATGCCTCTAAATAATTTAAGTGTCGTCTATTGACAGCTCCATGGGTGGCAACTATGAGCTATTGACTAGAGCCCTGCGGGATCGAAGGACAAATATTTACGGGATCGGGATCAAACTTACTTGATGGGATCGGGGTCGGAGTCAAGCTTACGAACGGGTTCGGGATCAGGATTTAAGCTGGGGATCGGGATCGCGATTTTCTTTTTCCAATTTATTGGAAGAGACACATGCTGTATAAATGGTTCTATTATATTTTTTCTATCATATTTTTTTCTACTAGTGTAACGTAAAAAAGCGAAAACATGGACTTCCATACACTCTTCTATTGGTTAGAGAGACCATATTGAGCTTTTTACATATCTTACTTTTGGTGGCCAGCTAGCTTTCAACAAATGCTGAAGTTATCTGATATTGGTAGCTGTTATTAGCAGATAACTTCTTTCACCGATAAAGTAAACAATTAAACACACACAAGAAACTGTCGTCCTCACACGACAGTCAATCAGATTCTTTCTTTCAGCCTGTCGCACACGAATGACAGCTGTTTGTATTTTAGCGAAAAAAAAGTTCGGGATTTAACGGGATGGTAATTATGCCTACGGGACGGGATCGGGACGAAAAAACTCAACCACGCAGGGCTCTACTATTGACACTCCCAAACAAAACAACTGATGGAAGTACCACTAGCGAGGGAAGGTTGAAGTGTGACCCTCAGTTCGACTGGGATACATACTAGTTTGTGGAGCTCGACGAGCTGGTCACGATGGCATAAAGCATATAGAAATAATAACAGCGTGCTTATGCTGCTAGAAATAAAGCACACGTACGTGTGCTTTATATTATTAAATACGTATAGACGGTCTATACGTATTTAATATATAGTGATAGGCTGGCTGTGAGTATTTATAAACAACGAGCCAAATGTGTTTATCGATTGCTCAGTACAATAGGA